CGTGACGTAGCGCCATATTCTCCCCTTTCTTTTGTACCCGTTCTGAGTTTTTCAGTAAAGCTGAGTCACAGACTCGATCTTCAGCTTGTGTGAGTTATGTGGAAACACCGCTGCAGTATGAATATTTTTGTGACTTTAATTAGCCAGCAGTTCTGTCCGTTTTACAGATGTTTGTGGAACTACAGAACCAGTATGTATTGGTTTCTCTTCATTTTCCGTGTTACAGTGACAGATTCACGTGCTCTAGTTCTGTGTATTGTGTAGAAGTCATAAGATTATAATAAAATATGCTTTTTATGTGAATTTCGTCAATGTCATGTTTTCATATGAGCCATTTTGTAGCTACTTATCCTTCATCACTGTTCTTGAGAGGGCAAAAGAATGACTGTCATTTTGGTAAGTAAAATGATTAACCCCTGCTATTTTATTAGCTCATGAACTCATCATGAAGAAATAGTGTATAATCAGTAATAAATTGTGATTCGCTCATCAGTTTCAGGGGCACAAACATGAATTCATAATGAAGAATCAGTATTTAATGAGTAATAAAGTGTGACTGGTTCATCACTTTACTTTAGGGGGCACAAACATTATGAATTCATCATGAGTTATCAGTAATCATTGCTTTCTTTATAGTGAATTGAGAATTGACACTGCACAGTTTTGTATTTTTCTCACTCTGCACATCAGGAGCTTGTAAATTAGCAGTTGAGTTCAATCAGGTGTACTAGAACTGGGAAAGCACAAAAATGTGCATTCAATTAAGGATTCTTATGAGCCCCAGGAGAAAGACACTCCAATAATTAACTAATTTCTGAGTTCAGTGGTAACTGTAGGCTAAAGTATTCCCTCATGAGGCTCTGTGTATCAGTACAGGATTTAAAACATGTTATATTATTAACAAGAAAGATGAATTAAAACTATGGCAACTGTCACAAATGAGGACTAGTTGCAAAACAATGTCAGTGTAAGCTTTTAATTTTACTGAACAGTCACTAGGTGGGTAGAAACAGACGAGGTAACATAAGAAATAAAAAACATTAAACTCAAGACCTGACAGACAAAAACAGGCAAATACAAGGGCTGCTTACACAACATGAAGAAGAAGGACAAGATGATGAGAGGATGGAGCTATAAAAAAAAACCAGCTGACTTTGATAGGCATAGTATTCCAGAGCACTGTGTCTCAGGGGGATCTTGTGACAACATTAATTAACACATGAATTCCTAATAAATTCAGACACTGAATAAAGCCTTTATTACCTTCATCTTCATTCATTAGAACATGCATTAGTAATTTAGTCTTGTGGTTGTTAATATATGACTTATTCATTTGTTCCTGATTAATGACTCATTACTTTAGCATTACTAGTAAATGCCTTAATTACTGCCGGTTCATGTACCCTTATTATAAAGTGTTACCAGACGCGAATATCAAATAGTGATGACGCTAACGCAATGGACTGCAGGTTCTAAAGCAGACAATGTTTCCAGTTTCCAGAACGTCAAAGTCCAAAAACTTGTGCTTTCATTACAAGGTTTCTGTGATTTAACTGAAATCTGATCTTTTTCAGCTAGGCCCTAATATTCCACAGCACAGCACTGTTGTGGCAGGACCTTATCTTCAGGTTCCACAGCACAGGTTTGCAGCTCTTGTGGGTGAACATTTGGTTGGGGTCAGACCTAGAGCATCGCAAGACACACTGAAACAAAAGCTCACAGTAGATAAGTAAATGAACACCCATTGGATGATGTACATCTCTGCCTGCAAGTTCCTTCTGGTCATCACTGGGCTGATCTAATTACTTTTGAAAGTAAGTTAGATACATTTTTTTGGAGTCTGTCTCAGCAATCCTGACTAACAGCTATCAGTAATACCACAGTCTTACCTTCTGTGGCTGGTATGGCATTGTTTGAGGCCCTAAAATAAAGGTCACTAAAACATAAATAAAGAATAGTTTGGCTTTTTAATGCAAAAGATTGTATAAAATAAAACAGAAAAAACTGATAATTCAAAAATAAAAGGTGGAATGGCTAATCTGTGGTTTTTCATAGGAGGGGCTCAATTATAGTTTTAGTGTAAATAACTGAAGTCTTTGTTGAGTAATTTACCACAGCTTGAATGTACCCAGGCAAAACTGTGAAACTGACTCCCTTTACCTTTAATACTGTTACTTTCACACTAACAGTGTATAAATCTGATTGGTTAATCTTGTTCTCACCATAGCTGCTAGTAGCAAATAAAATAAAAAAGTGATTAAATATGTTAATGGACAGGGGTTCTATCAGTCAGGACTGGGTTTCCAAAAAGCATCTTAGTGCAAGGATAATTCTTAAATGGTAGAGCGAGCAACTCACAGAAGTTTCCAACTGAACAGCACTGAGACTACCCCTTTGCTGGATAAGTACCTGAATAGTATTTTCACTTTTCTTAGAGAGAATTAAGGCTTATGTGCTTAAGCTGCATTTTCTGATTAATTAGTCAGTTCTCGTAAGCCGGTTCTGTATTCTCCATGTTTTCAGTTCAAATGTGAGAGAGAGATCAAGAGATTTCCTTCACAGAACAAGTGTAGTGACATGATGTGTTGATGTGGTGTCCTTGAATTAGCTTTAATACTCTTAGGTTGGCAAAAATTGATCCGGGTGTTTAGCAGAAGTGCCTCACTCTCAACACTGTACTAATCCCACAATTAGCTAGCCAACAAACTATAATCCGGATTTTTACATAATTTTATATAATACTGAATTTAATGCAGTAACAGTTGGAAAGTTGTAGATGTGGCTTGGGGAAACCCGTGACAAGCGTGAAATGGTAAAATTAGTACAAAAGTGTGCAGCTGAGCAGCCTGTGAAGTGCCTCACTGTTGTTAGCGGGGAGCTAATGAGCTGGCACTCCGGCACTGTTGATCAGAATGACTGGTACCATGAAGACTAGGTGGTTCCACACCACCATGACCAGATACCCTCAACAGTCACTTTATTAGGTACACCTACCTTATATCTACACTCACTAAACATTGATGAGATGCACTTGCCATATCAACACACTTTGTAGTTCTACTATATTGCAAGAGGTCCCTCTGTTTCTTTGCATAATTTATTATCAAGGCTCTCACAAGACCACCACAGACCAGGTATTATTTTGGTGGTGGATTATTCTCAGCACTGCAGTGACACTGCAGTTTGTAAACACTTCAGTGTCACTGCTGGACTGAGAATAGTCCACCAACCAAAAATATCCAGCCAACAGCGTCCTGGGCCACTGATGAAGAACTACAGACAAATAGAACCTTCCATTCTGACTAGGCCTTGTTTCTGTCTCTTCTGTATGAAATTGGGGGGAGAAAAACATTGAGATTAAAACTGCTTCTTAGCTTTGACAACCTGTAGGTGGTCTGCTTTCTCTGTTTTAAATAATTAAAGAGAGTCTTATAGGGTGTCTGTGTCAAGTCATTTTCAATTTCTCTCTGTGATGTTTCATAGAGTTTGGGAATTACTTTGCTGCTGAAATGTGCAGGAGGGGACACTGTAAAGGCCACCGCACACTGGACATGCAGTGTCGTGTAGCAAAGTGCTGCAATAGAATGCCAGCAGGGAAAGATGATAATAGCCAGGTTCAAGTTCAAGTGTTCATACAAGTGTTCAGTATGACTAATTATGCCTGGTGTCCGTTTACTACCTCTTCACAAACTCACTGTTTTTGAGCTGAAACATACAAGCTGATAAAGTCTGAGCTAGTAACTGAGATCGCTTACCATTCGCATCTGTCTCTACCTAAAAGACTGGCCGCAGCAGGCTAGAGATGTTCTAGAGATAAGCTCCAGAGATGTTCTGTGGATCTAAATATACAATGTGTGCAAAGTCTGCAGTGCAATAAGTGAGTTTAGAAAATTATAGGAAAATGACAGCCATATCATAATACAGTGTTTCACGTGTGCATATTGAACTGTAGGGCTTTACCCAACCATTTGAAAATATACCATTGCGTCCCTACACACACTCACGCCACCACCATGTCAGTGTCACTGCAGTGCTGGGAATGATTCACTACCCAATAATACCTGCTCTGTGGTGGTCCTGTGGGGGCCCTGACCATTAATGAATGGTATGAAGGTGGGATAACAAATTATGCAAAGAAACAGAACTACAAAGTGCACCCATATAGTGGATCTTACAAAATGGGCAATAAATGTTGGTACAAGGTAGATGTACATAATAAAGCGCTCAGTGAATGTATCAGGTGGTATGTTGTCATGTAAAGTCGTCTTTCTAAGAAGGTCCAGACTGTTTTTTGGGATGCTATTATAAGCATGCAATGAGGTGGAAACACTGAGCCAGTCCTTCTGAGCCAGGCACTCAGACCTACTGCAAAGCATTTATACATAAAAACCTTTTTCTCCCTCCAAATATTTGTTCAGCACAAAGTGCATAATGTGCAGGACTACCTTATCCCCCCACCCTCAATAATACGAGGGAGATATTTTCCCCCCAAAAACAACCTCCTTTATTCTCCTGTAGAATTCTAACAGGAATTTCTTGTTCTGTCTACAGTCTACTGTTGAAATCTGTAGTTATGACCGTACAAATAGTGATTATTTCATCAGTGAGCAGGCAGCCTCCTCACAAGGATATAGTGAGTGTTGTTCACAGCAATACATCATGCCTCTGCACTCAATTTAAAATGGTTATCATTAAAGGATTATTCACTTGTAACCATGTGTACATAGTAGTTGTTTGATATTAATTTCACTAAGCTGTGCTTAGTACTGCCAAGCAAACTCCAGCCACAGTTTTCAAAAACACACAAGGTCATATATATATATATATAAGAAAATATAGTTTATTAATGGAAACCAGGTTTAACAAAGAGAAATCAACAATGAAGAAATGTATACAATAAAAACATGATAAATAATGTCTGAAATCTTAAATCCACATTTTATTACACTAATTTACCTATTTACATAAAATCTGTTAAGTAGATGTCTTTAAGCATCTTTTTAATTCAAAATGCTTTTCCCAGTCTTTTTGACCACATTGTTGGAGGTGCCAAACAGTCTGTCCCAGTGACTGAAGAAAGGTGCAAAGTTGCTGCTGGGCTTCTGGTGGTGAAGGTCATGAGCTAGTGCTCCTCCAAGCAGTCCAAATGGCACCAGGCGGCTTGGGGCCCAGGGCAGGTCATAGCCAATGTGGTCCTCAACAGACAACCAGATGCTGAAAATGGTCATAGTCCACGTTGTCAGAGGATGGCACTGAAGAAGAAGAGGGTCCAGGTTGCTCCAGAAGCCCATGGTCATCAGCTCCACAGCACTGAGGTGTTCAGTGGACCAGGAGAAGGGTGAGATGTAGTCATGGTGGATGGCGTGGACCCACTTATACAGGTGGCCGTTCTTGTGGTGAGCCATGTGCCAGAAGAAGTACTGGGTATCAAAGATAAGCAAGGCACCAAGCCCCCCAGAGAAAAGCTCCCACACTGTCGGAGCAATAGCAGGCAGCTGAGGAGCTGGCATCACCGCACTGTTGATCAGGACGATTGGAACCACGTAGACCAGGTGGTTGTACACCGCCATGCCCAGGCTCCTCATCATCATGCTGACGGTAGGTCGCCTCTCCTTCTGGATCTTGTAGCTGTAGAAGGCAGGAGCCTGCTCTCCCAAGAGGTCCAGAATGGCAAAGGGACAGCTGAAGATGAAGTAGCTGGAGAAGGCAAGCATGACTGGGAAGAAAGGTGAGGAGACCAGGGAGTAATGGTGGAACACCAGGTAGTCCCACAGTGGCTGGAGAAGCCGGTCTGAAGCCCTGGAAGTTGGGAGCTGCAAGGCAACTTCACTGACGTTCCACATCTTGTTCTTTGTTTCTCCAGGGAGCTGTGGTGAGAACATGCTGAGGTGCATGTTCTAGCCTTATTTTATACTTCTGAGCCAGGAACCCAGAGCTTTTGTAAAGCTATGATACAGCATTTTTTTCCCCAACAAGTCTGTTGAAAACAAGACCGTGCTGTTGCAGGATTACCTTCATCCACCAACCTCAAGACGAGGGAGAATTTTTTTCCCCACAAATAACCTAATTTTCTCTCCTTCAGAATTCTAACTGGAGCCTTTTGTTCATTCAGTTTCTGTTTAACTAATTTAATCTCATAATCTAAATAAAATGTTCATTGTATGCAGAATGAAATGACAGTTCATACTACTGATTTAAATTGTTCTGAATATTTTAGGTTAGTTTATTTGGGAGCTGAGACACATGACAGTTATATTTTGTAGATATCCATATCTACATGGATAGCAAAAAAGAATATATGAAGGTTGTAGGCGACCTTAGAGTCTGAATTGCCAGCTTTTAGGTATACCTACACTGGCTATTTCATCAGATAGGAAATATGAAAAAGTATGCACATCCAAAATCTTAAAAAAAAACAAAAACAAAAAAAAAAAACAGGTGCCATTTCAAGATGGGATTCTATGTGTTGAGCTACCTGCGCTTCATCAAACTGATGAACAGTAGTTGGCTTGAAACAAAGCATTGAGTAGTGTGCAAATCAAATGTTTCCTTTGTTATTCGTATAGCATCACCAGAAATTTCTCCTTATTCAAATAATTCCCCTCTTGATTTGAAATGAGCCTCTCTTTCACCAGTGTTGTGTAATGTAAGTACAGTATATTGTAAATTATTGCCATTTTTTACATTTTATTTTTCACTTATCCTTCAAAGAAAAGTTCAGATTCAGTTGTTAATTTTTTTAAAATTATTTATTTTCAAATTAATTGTGCCAAAAAGTTCATACAATATCAGTGAATCATACAATTATTGCACTTTTACTCATCTGTTCAGAATGTGATTGTATTTGGCATATTTAGGATTCGTGTTTATCACAAAGGGCCATTCCCAATCTATGTCTGGATCCTCAGTCGAGATGTCTAAATCTTGGCTAATAGCTTGTGGATCCGTGACTGAGGTTCGTAACTCCAAATCAAACTCAGGATTGCAAAGTGGCTAGCCTTCTGTTCTGACAAGAGGCAACCACGAATATCAGGTCCAGGGACAGTCCAAACCTTTCATTTTGAATTTAAACACTTTAATTACAATCTGACCTATAAACTTGGTCTATTTTTATTTGACAAGTCATTTTTATTTGATTGCTAGGATTCTGATGATTCTTTGTTCCGGTCTACTTCTTCTCACTGCTCGCTTTCCTTGACACTGTTTTACAGGTGTTGACATATTTGTGACGATCATTCCTGTGTAGTTGAACAAGATAAAACAATGATTAGCTCATTCATGCTATCTGTGGGTCACTCACAGTTATGTAATTTGACTGGCAAGGAAATGCCTTGAATAATACAGTGTACAGAGAGAGCTACATGTACCTGCTCATTTTAACCTTGTTCCTGCACCCCAGTCCTCCCTCCCAGTGGCTTGTGTAAGTTGATCTAGTCATCATACTTCCACACGCCACACATGGCTTGCCATTGTTGTATGACTACAGAGATGAGACAGTACAATTATAAATTCACCCTAAGTGCAAGCTGAAACAAACTTCATCAACACTAGCCAAGCTCACCTGCTCTTTTGCGCAAAAGCCACAGATCATTCTGGTTGCCAGCTCCATGAGGTGATCCTGGTCCTCGTCATGGCAAAGATCACAGGGGTAAGCCCGGCCACAGCAGGGAAACCTGGCGGACGTTCAGGGGCCGACCCAAAAAGGAGCCAAGGGGAAGCCCCGTCTTTGAAACAGGGCAGGCGAAAGGATTGGAAGATGTTGAGATTAACTGTGTAAAGGTTTTCTAGGAAGGTCTTGGCACTGCACAGATTAAAACTCACTGCTGTGAACTGTACAATGCCTTTCAAAGACAGCAGAACTTGGCTGCAGGAAACAGACTGCATGAAATGAGGCAGATTTTCTCAGAGTAGAAGAAAGGTGAAAGCATCTTTTTATCTGCATGCACTGCCTACAATATCTGCAATATCACTGTCTCAGTGACACCACCACATATTTGTGACTGTTTTTCAACATAATTTTTCTTCCAACAGCAACACTAGAATCCCATGATTGATGCGCTGACTGCCCAAGTGGATTGTGCACAAAAATGAAATGACTTTTCACTTTTCTCATCGCTTATAAGACTAATTCTAAGTCTAATGAAGTTCTACTTCATGAATGTAGGGACAATTGTACTGTGAAATTTGCAACATTTTAAATCAGGACTAAAGAGAAGGTACAGTGCATGGTGACAACCAGGCTCTCATACGCAGATGATGTTGATAGGTAACTAATATGCCCAAATTATGCAGCTGACACAAAACTAACAGAACACATATACACTCACTGAGCACTTTATTAGGAACACCTGTACACAAAGGGATGTCCTACCAGTTTCTAATTGTGATTGTGCAGTGCTTGTTTGCTTAATTTATTTAATTAAATAAATTATGCTCAATAATGTAGCTCATATAACAGGTGAAGTTATAAATGCCACATGGTTGGGTAGTAATGGAATACATGTAATGGCTTTATATAATCGAGATACAAAAAAAGGTAAGTGTATTTCATTACAGTTACAGAAAAAAAGTCAGTAATTACAAGTACATTATAAACGCAGAGTGATTACCAGCCGGAGTACATTCATACCACAAAACACACAAACTCATCAAATCCACCGTTTTATTGATAAACAGGTCACATGAGACGTGTACATTTAAAGAGTTTTTAATTTGGGGAGGAACGGGTGAGGAGGATTCTGTTACCAGGAAAGATTTCTGAAGAGGAACCCTCCTCCCCAGCAGAAGGTCGAAAATAACACTTACATTTTAGTAAGTTAATATTACAGAACGATCAGAATATTTGCAAAAATATAGCATCTGTACAGTTGTGGAAATCAGCATTATGTTACAGAGGAGTTACTGTAACACAGTAAAAAGGTTTGTTTGGTTAGTTTAAGTTTAGTTTAAGTGTCACTGTGGTTAATGAGCTCTCGGGAAAAAGCTGTCAGCATGTCAGCTTATGCAGGTTTTGATGGCTCTGAATCTTCTACAGAAGGGGGGGGGGCTGGAAGAGGTGATGTCCAGGATGAGAGGGGTCAGCTGTTATTTTGCCAGCACATTTCATCACCCTGCTGTTGCAGATATCTTGAAGCATTAGCAGACTACATCCAGTGATCCTCTCTGCTGTCCTGATAATGTGCTGGAATTTGGCGTCTGAAGTCCACCACCATCTCTACAGTTTTGTGTGTTGAGCAGCAGGTGGTTGCTGCAACACCAGGAGACCATGTGCTCGACTTCCTTTCTGTAGGCAGATTCATTCCTGCTGGCTATGAGGCCCACCACAGTGGTGTCATCTGCAAACCTAAGGATCTTCACAGCTGGTTCCTTAGAGACACAGTCATTGGTGTAGAAACTGGAGAGCAGGGGTGAGAGCACACAGCCTTGTGGTACACCTGTACTGAGGGTCCAGAGGTTTGACGTGTTTTCCTGGCAGAGAAAGTCTGAAGAGTGTCTTCTGCGCATTCAAATCTGCAGTAGAACTCCTTCAGGTCGTTGGTGAGCTGCCAGTCATTCAGGAGAAGAGTAATTTTTCTCACCTTGTAGTTGATAATCTTTTGTAGCCCTTTCCAGACTAAAATTGGGTCGTTAGCAGCAATGTGGCTTTTCAGCTTTCCGGAGTATTTCTTCTCATTATAGAGAATTCTGTCCCCACTCCTGAATGCTGCCTCCTTTTCCCTCTGAAGCTGAGTTCAGCTGAAAACCATGCTTTGTTGTTGCTGTATTTCACCCGTGCTATAGTTAAAATACAGCTGTCCTCATGGAAACTGACTGTATGATGTCACAGTGTCTGTGTATTCTAGGTCTTTAGGCTGTCTGACGCTTCTTCAAAAACAGCCCAGTTTATGGATTCAAAATGCCAGTGATGTAGCAATGACCCAAAAGGTTTTCTTCTCTTGTGGCACAAGTGACATGCTGCCTGTACTTGGGCAGTTCTATCATTAGATTTGCGTAGTTAAAGTCTCCCAGAATGATGTGTAGTGAGTCTGGATTCTCTCCTTCTACTTTCATTATCTGATTGGCGATGACGTCTTTACACAAGCGTTTGCAGACACAGAGGCAGATTCCTCACCTCCTTGATCTTGCCTGTGACCTCTGCATCTGCATCTGTCTGCACTGTGCAGCTGGAGGCCAGGGAGATGCAGCGCACTGTCTGGGGTCAGATCGGAAAGCCAGGTTTCCGTGAAGCAGAGGAGAGATGCGGTTGAAAAGTCCTTGTTGGTTTTGTTACCTGAAGTAGTTCTTTCAATTTATTGTGTAGAGATCACAGATTGGAGAGGAATAAAGACAGTAAAGGTGTACAAAACCCACATCGTCTCAGCCTTATGAGTCCACCCACATGTCTGATCTGATCTGGCAGTAAACTCTTTATTCTCATTTTTTGCTATGTAAAAGTACACTTTGACATGTTACAAGTCAAACTTTTGTGAAAAATAACTTGCCAGATTTTAATGCTAATTTGAAACCACTGAGAGCTGATTAGAAAGTGTTCAAGCACAACACACTAACATGAAACCTTATGAACTACTACAAGCATTTTAGCAGATACAAATGACAGGCAGTCAGAGTTTTGAGAATGGCCTCTATTAATATTTATAACTGTTTAGGGGTCTCAAAAGAAGACTTCCATCAGACTGATTTTTTTTACTTTGGTATGGAAAGACAAATAAGGTAAATCCCAGGAGAGCAGTATAGTTTTTTAACTCTACAGTAATTACTTGTTCTCCTGTGTTGTAGTCTCAGTATACCATACATGTTTAGTCTTAGTCTTTTAAAAAATCTTTTTTAAAATAATCTTTGAAAAAAAAATCTTATTAAAATCATTTATTTTTTCCTGGGGGATCTGTGCACTGATTTCTGAACCCATCACCTTTTTCAAAGTTCATGAGTATACATGTCTACACAACTATTTATACTGTACAATTTTGTCATTATATTTGAAATATTTCCATATATTTCTCCAATTAGATT